TCATTATTTAGATATCAGGACGGGGAGGAAAGAAACAACAAAAAATAGGGGTAAAACCAAAAGCATGTATCTCTGCGAAAAGCATAGAGGTGGCTTGGCGAGCATTTACATATTGGAAGAAGCCCTTCACTTCACGTTGGGTGTTCTGTTCCTATTGGGGGATTCGATGGCGGTGCAGCAGCGTAGATGACTCTGACTGATATAGTTAAGCGTCGAGCTACCTAGAGGAACAAAACTAGGAACAACTAAAAATATTAAACAGAAAAAGAGAAAGGGAAAAAATAAGGGGAGAGTTAAATAGGAAAAGGAAAGAGGCTGTAAAATATACAAACTTTATTACAAAATTATCTTACCGCTTGCTACATGGATTATATCCATCGGTCAATTTAGCGCGCCCGTATGCCGTATCTCGCTAGTATGTATCTCATATAAGATGACCACAATGCTGGACGGAGGTCGCTGGTCGTTTAAAGGGAAATAAAAACAAGTTCCCGTTGACACTTCTTGTAAAAAACCGACCGTTGTTGAAGTGGAAGTAGATCAAATTGACGAAAATCACTAGAAAAAGAATATGTATATATATATATATATATATATATATATATGTTCGAAGTTATCGTAATGTTGTAAACGAAGATGCTAACGACGTAGATCTTATCGAAATCTTCATAAAAACATTGTCATCATTATTATTATTAAATATCTATATTCATCTAGAAGTGAAATCTTCTTTATACGTACGCATATATCATGATCATGTATTTTTCGACAAATCTTCTAATCATATTATGAATAGCGGGCAGGAGAAGAAGTACAGTCCAGTCGGTATGCCAGAGCAACTGAGCCCATGTAGCTTCGCAATATTTCTTCATTTTCCTGTATCTTCAACAAACGAACTATAGTAAGTACATGGGTATTTGACAAGAAAAAAGGACTGCAAGCTTAGTCATATAATTGACGCGTATACAACATGTTCGGGATAAATTCAGACAGAACTTGCTTAGCACTTGTTTATAAACAACAACTAGAAAAAAAAAAAAGACATATTTGAATCTTTTTGTTCTGTTTCGATGTGCTGACAGTGAACATCCTCATGGACTAGTTAATTTTATATAGCTGCTGTTCCCTTAGAGTATAACTTAGCTTTTCGCTTAAATTTGCAAATAACGTCCTAATAATGATGATCATGAGCGAAGATACGTTCGGAAACATGGCGGAAAAAAAGCGTACGAAAATTATATGAAGCAAACTAACCGTTTGGAGCTGTTTGTATGATTTGGACACAATCTAACAATGAACAGTTTACCCTAGAACGCATAATCAGCCGAAGTGGGTTCTCAAACAATTTCAAGGAGCGTTTGAAAAATCATTTGCAACCAACTTCGATTGTGCATCTTCCGCTTTGCTTCACAAAGATCTATCTCTGCTTCTTCGAAAGTTGCGCACAGCCCGATAACAACGTAAGCGATTTTTCACAACTTATAAAATTTAGAACTTCAATGATCTGTCCGGTACGAATATACTAAGCAATGGTTGATTTTCGCTGATGTTCCGAACCAGCGCGTCTTACCTTTGCCACGATAAAATTGAGGTATTCTACTAAATGAACACCGGCTTTTGTCAAGCGTTAATAATCGCACATGAATCGCCCAAAGTATCCCGAGCGCCCTGTGTGTGTGTGTATATATAAATAACTAATTCTCTGTGAAAAATCACCAGGAAACGCAAAAAATGGCAAGCTGCGGCGACTTATTTATTTTTTCGATCATATCAGTAGTATTGTTATTACCAGCGCCAGTTGCTTATGATAAGGCTTATATGCCATCCCACCTAAAGGTTGAAGAACTTTGGACTAAACGTCTGCTTTAAGACACTTCGTATGACGTTGCACACTATCGAAGTGTCTCCGTTGCATCTTCGTGCTAACTGTGTCGAGGGCGCGTATCAATTAACGCTTTTACTATTACTAGAATTTTTAGTACTATATATAATGATTTTCTGCCAGTTGTAATAGCTCATAAAATAATTCTATAGTAGTTAATAACGCTTTAGACAAATGTTATTAGGGTAGCTGAACGCGATATATATACATATATATATATATATATATGTATATATATATATATATATATATATATATACACACATATGTGGTAGTATGAACGAATATATATTTTTTATGAGATATAGCTACCAAACATAGCTGTCTATTTTATCCTCACGGAATTTGTTCCTCTGTACGCCTTTCACTCGCGGACTTCTACTCTAACTCAAGTTCAGGGTTTCTATATATATGTCAGTACGTACGTATATCAATAAAAATTGCTATACAAGCTACGCATACATTGAATATAGTATGAATAGTCTTCACAGTCACTCCAATATGATATGATAGTATGATAATGACGACGATAATTATCGTTATTTTTGTGCATCTGTGTTCGAACTCTTTCAAATTTTGAAGAGAACATATGACGACTATGATAAGAGCTTAGATATAACGATTGCACGCCCTCTTCAACAACGTTAACTAAACGCTGATGTTGATAACGGTAGCAACGTGTTAACGGCGGTCGCCGCGACGTCGATTCAATACAATTTCGCTATACGGCAAAAACAGACGCCCGAAACTATGCTACCGTCATTCTGGCGCTGGCAGAATGACCGCGGGGCAGGAGTTATACCGGCAAGAGGCAACATACTCGGGATCTCTTCGACGACAGAAGCTTTTGTGCCATATGCCACCATGTCCACCCATCATTTATGTTTAATCTGCCTGCTTGTCTAGCGGCACCCGTTCGTATTCCGAACGAGCTACAAAATGATCGTAACTAAAAAGTCGGATTATCTCAACTGAGTCACTTCTGTGCGACAATCAAAATGCGCGGAGATGAGTATTTGCATTGAACGGACCTGTGAACCTTTGACTAACTCTACTCAGCTACACTGCGTCGTCAACCTAGCGAAGGTACAGTTAATCACATTCGGCCCTAAACTGCGCTGGCCTGTATAAGGTACATATCATCAGTGTATGAACAGTTGGTAATAGCAGATCAGCGTACCAGTCTCTTCTAGCCGTTGCAAAGAAACTATTGTTTGTTAAGTTGTACATGAACTATAGGAACCATTTAAAAAAAACAATGAGCCGTCCGCCTCTCGTGTCCCCGTGGGGTGTGTTTGCCTGCTGATCTTTTAGGGACACGTGGTGATCTAGGTTCGAATCCGGGCATAGAAACGCTTCATTTCTTGCGGGGAGCCAGCCGCCTGATAAAATACCTACCGGTGGTGCTAGGGAAACTCGAAAGATTTAGCGTGATCGTTTTATAAAGAGGGCACACCAGCCGCCGTATATACTACATAGTAAATATTACTTAGCAACTAGGGACGTATTTGTCCAGATGAGGTGGGTAGTCTTATGGCTTTGGGTAGCACCAATTATCACACTGGAGCCGCGAAACACGGCGCGCGCTAGTGTACAGAAAGTCGATATTAACTTGAAACTAGAAATCGTATCGTATCGTACCGTATCTTGTAACATTATTGCGTTGACAGCAATGATCGGCCTTATTGATCCGTGATGGAACTTACTCGGAGATATCATGCCCCGTTGTTCACAGGTGCAAACGCATAGACCGACAGTGAGAGGCTGCTTGAGAAAGACGCAAATACAATCTACCAAAAGCAATGTACACACAAAACTAGATCATCTAAGCGGGAAATTCATCTGTTGAATACAGTCGTCACAGCGTCTCTACTTGAGTATGCTATCAGCGACATGGAAGGAACGCGTACACACAAATATATGTATACACAAATATATTAATGGGTACAAACGCACCCGTCAATCAAAGCGGACAGAGAGAGAGAGAGAGAGAGAGGGAGAGAGAGAGAGAGAGAGAGATACTTAGATATATCGTACAATACGTACCAGCGAAGGGCAGCACGATGGCGTATGCCCTCCGCCACCGTCACGGTACGCGATGACAGCTGTGGAAGGGAGAGAACGAAGTGGGGTCTAAGGGTCCAAAACTCGTTGTTGAGGAACTGTTGCACTGCTACTATAAGTGATACTGCCTATATATAGCAGAGAAGAAAAGGGACGCTTGAGAATCAATCGTACGCCACCGATTGAGCGCTACGAGCCTACTCTTATCGATGTGAGAAGCGGACAAGCGTGATGATTGGGATTAGTCATTGTTTGTATCGCATGACTACAATCAAAAGTCCCTTTCCATATTTTCTATTTCATCATTCAGTAGCCATTACTAGCTGGGTCAGAGCGCAGCTTATCCTAGAGAAAAAAATCGATAATTCTGTTTTTCCCGGTTCGAGATAATGACTAAAGATTAGATAATTATGAACGTGCTACATTAGCGCGAAACATTCACTACGACGTTATCGAACAACGCCACTTATTAGAGGGATTATTAAAGCATTACATGATTTTACATTACTTCGTATATTTTCTATTGGATGTCACTGTGATGTTGTATCGTTGTTCTATTGGGCGTTATCAACCGCAGCGCTATGCTCGGGATGGCAAAATATTATCCACTAGGAAATCCTCTATCGTCACAAACGTGCTTGATAACCTATAATTAATGATTACGATACCACCCTTATGCAGAGGCGGTAGCGATGCTGCACGAGTTCGTCACGAAGCAAAAAACCCAACACAACAAAACATTACGACGATAACAACAACAACTATAGTGCTGATGATAAAATAATAGTACGGATGAAATAATGTCTATTTTTGTACATAAAATGTTTATATTTAAAGTGACGCCGAATGTGGCAAGAAAAAGAGTATGAAAGGGTAGAAGAGATACGAGGTAATAGATATTGCGACGTATTTTCAACGGAGTTATCATCGTATGAAAAAAAAAGGGCAGAATATTAAGGGACGGTGTATATGGACAAGCATGAGATGATATAAATCGAGTGGAAAAGATGGACCATCTTCTGCTACTGAAAACAAACAAAAAGCGTGAAAGGTTTAGAATCGTGTCGTATTCAATCAAACAGATTAAATGAACGACTGATTATCGGTTAAAGTTGCCGAAAGTATGGTATCGATGGTTAAGTAACAAGTTAATTAGATATGCCTGATAGTATAATGAGAGAACACCGCCTGGACACGACCTCAGATCAAAACAAAAAGAGAAAATTCACGATCGATCGATCGTTCGTTTTGTTACTGTCATCATGACAACAATAAGTATATACTTGTAAGACTGATAAAGACATGAGAAAAAATAATTGACTGATAACCGTAAGATGGAACATTGGAAGAGACACAATTCTAATTTTTCAACTTGCCATCACTATGTCACGCAAATGATGAAAACAAGAAACTATCGTTGTTACTAT